GAGCAAGCAGAGCTGGAGGAACAAGTGTGAGTTATATTGTGCACTGTGCATTGGTTATAAATCCTGCCTGTAGGAATCACTGAAATGGAGAAATAGTTGTCTCCTAACTTTGAGATCCAATCTGCAAAGTCCCAATGTCAGTGTGATGATTTATGCAATACAAAGCCAACAGGATTCAGCCTGACACGGTAAAATAGATGTATGCAGAAACGTGGGCTCTGTTTAAAGGGTGAGTAAACCCCAGGCAGGTGTCTGTGCTGCAGACAACTCGTGGTTGTCAAGGTAGGGTGCTGCAGAGGGGCTGAGGACAGGCTGCAGCTGTGCTTGGTGTGCTGCAGGAGGGAGAAGGATGCTCAGCACTGTTCTCCCATGACCTCTGCCTGCTGATGAGCTCCAGAGGGAGCTGTGGTTTGCCTTTTTGCTCAGAGACGCACTCACAAGAAGCAGATAGCAGCAGAGAAAGGATAAATGTGTCGTCCCGTGAATCCCTCTTTTTCTCCCCTTTGCTCCAACCCTTCATAAGAAAACTCAGCTTTTATGAGTTTTCATTTTTAAGTGTTGCTTGTAAAACAGTCCTATGAAAATACATGTAGCTAATAAATGAAACCTAATGTGTTACCTTTGTTTATATGTTTTGTAGTAGAAATCAGTGAGAAACTTGCTTTAAAACCTCATGAGCAGGAGTGACATCCCAGGATTGTTACAGCTGTGCATTTTTCAAAATGGCATTTTAAACCCCACGCAAAGAGTTCTCCTTTAGTGTTAACGCTGACTATGTTTGTTTGATGCATAGTTGATCTAGAAATGTATTTTATTTTGAGGTGCTGCCAGCATTTGCCTCTTCCCTCTCAACAAGCCTGATTATACTGAAAACAAGGCAGAGCAAGTGAGGATACAAGGTTGGATGATTGCTGAGGCAGAACCACACATTTCCCTGTCAGTGCTGACACTCGTGTCCAGGCTGTGGGTGTCTGCTTTGCATTATCACCAGGCAGTTATTTATCAGGAAACACACCAGGCAAAGCCTTCTATTTCAGCTGGCAGCCAATCAGACCTCGATGATTTGCACTTTTTTGGTTTTTTTTATTTTTTTTTTTTTGAGATGGTGTTTATTTACGCACAAAACACAAACGTTCAGGCTGAATGCCTTTCTCCATCACTAGGGAAGCAAAGAGTGAGCCTGAACAGCAAAGATGTGGTGCTGCCACTCTGTCCTGCACATTAGAGTGTTAGAAATTCCCAACTGTACAGGGATGAAAGTGAAAATCCTAAGGAGTGTTGTTATGTATTTAAAATAAACCAATAGTCTATTTGGGTTCAGTTGAAAACCAACCTGTCTTCGATGGATTGCATGGCATTTAGTTTTAATTATCTCCTCCAGTTAAGAATCTGAAGCTGTCAAAAACAAACAGAAGCTTTTCTTTCTCTGTCCATGCAGGTGAGATATGAAGAAGGAAAGAGACATGTCTAAAAGCAGTGGAAACAATATCAGCATAACCAAGGAGTAAGTGACCAAAGCACTGATTTGACTTCATTTTATCTTTGCCTCTAAACATTGTTCCTACCTAAAAAAAAAATTCATCAAGCTGGTGTCCTGACAAATATGCAATTTGCTCGGAGTATGTGAATTCTTTATTCAGTTATTTCAGTTATAGTTATTAAGGTGCCTTTTAATGATATTTGTTAAAATGAAAATGTACTTACAATCATTAATTTACTGGATAAACAGACACCCACAATTATTCTTATTTCATTCTCTCATCACAAGGACAAATGTCTGTAACACCTGACTGGCTGCTACTCACATCTGAGTTGCAAGACACTTGGGTTGGCACGTTAATAACCTTAGTGTGTGAATTATCTCCAAGATGGGTATCCAAGTGCTTCTGGCTTTCCTGACTTCACACAGCTCCATGGAAGGGATCTTCCAGAAGTGTTTATGGTGCCATGAACCCAGAAACTGTTGTGTCCCTGCTGCAGTCAGGGCTGTGCATGTCAGGGAATTTTCCCCTTGCTCTAGCTCAGTGCTGGTGCATATTAGAGCTGAAATCTAAGGGTTGACCGATGCAATTCTTATCACTATTAGTAGGTTCCCTTGCTCTAGCTCTGTGCTGGTGCATATTACAGCTGAAATCTAAGGGTTGACTGATGCAATTCTTATCACTATTAGTAGGTTTCAGAGATGTGTGCAAAAACTCTGTACTGCTGTCTGTAAACAATTGCAAAACTGAATAAACTGCCAATTCATCTGCCTTAGTATTAAGTTTACTTGCTCTGTCTTGATAGGTTTTATTAGGCAGGTAATAAATCTACCCAATATTTCTAAGATTATAGACTCAGTGTAAGCACATAGTAAAGCTGATTTGCTGTCAGAGGTTTTGAAACTTTACTAGAAGTGTAAAAGGACAGTACACTGCAGATGCAGATTCAGAGCACTAAAAACAATTGAAATAATCATAAAAACCCTCACAAGAAATTGTTTTCGCAGAACTGTCACATTCCACATTTTGGCTAAGCCAGCTGTACATTTCTCAGTGTGGGGTAACCTGGCAGCAACAGATTAGACACAAATGAGTTATGATTTGGGCCACAGGTTCACCTCTGGCACTTTCTCTGACAATGTGGTACATTGTCCTGGTGATCTACAAACGGGAGCTGCTGCAGTATTAAACTTCCAGTAAACTTTGTATCTGATTACAGTTTTGCTATCATCATGTGTGTCTTTCTTTTTCTTACTCTTCATGTGGATATTAAAACCCTGTGCAAGTTGTAATATCCTGTGCAGCTTGGCACGAGGGGCTTAAGGAGTCCTTAAAATCAAAGATGCTCAAAATCCAGAAAAAAATCCTCTCTGTAAAGTAGACATCTACTGTTTGGGTTTTTTTTCTGAATCCTTCTTGTCATACCCTTTCCAGGAAGATCAGGGGAAGCACTACATGAGTAGTCTCCCAGCTGGGTTTCTGAGCACTCAGGTACAGCCTGTGGGGTTGGTCTCACCTCTGCACAGTCAGTGGCCCAAGAATCCACAGGATTATCAAAATTAACTTGGCAAATGTATAAATACATATATATACACTGCTAGTGACACTGCAGAATGATCTACATGATATATCAGCTCTTTTTGGAATGTCAAATGGATTTTATTTCAGTTTTTATAAGTTTTATAAATTTAGATTTTAATAAGTTTTGTGAAAAAAAAAAAACAGGGGTTGGGTGCTAGGAATTTATCCTCCACTTTTTCATTTGTCTGTGTGTAAAAGAGTTAGGAATATGTGTCTACACTCCTAGCCTTGCAGTGTATGATACATATGTCAGCTGATCTCCCAATCAGGTCAATGCCTGATTGAAAATGATATAAAATCAGGCCTAGAGAAACTCTGAGCTGTATGGAGCAGAGTGCAGCCTCCAGCTGCTGGGAGCACTAGTTTGCTCCATTTTGTTTGTGGAGGAAGATTTGTAGAGGTATGCAGAGACTGATTTCTGCCCTGCAGCCCTTTGCTCCAGAGGAGCAATGAAATCTGGGACCTCTGGTAGGGGAGAGAGAAGGGATTTCATATGGCAACAATAAGACATACAGCTCTAATAGCAACTGCTTGGCATTAAAAGCTTGGATAGGACCTGCTTCTTTCTTTCTACCTGTCCCATCTACACTTGATTTTAGCAGGGAAAAAGAAACATCACTCAACATTATTTACCAATTAACATTCAGTGTCCAGTAAGAGTAAGCAAATAGCAATATTTGCCTTCTACTTAATCATTCTTCATTCACCACAAACACAGGCTCTTTATTTATGTTTCTATAAAACTAGGCTAAATAAAAGAGACTATATAGAGGTTATTGAAGTATAATGGAGGCTTGGATAGGACAGAACGAAAATATTTCCATCATCTCAGGAAGTTTTTTTGCTAAAGATTATAACAAGATGGGCAACAAAACCTCATAAACTTTTGGGAAGTGGAAAGAAACATGCTGCCTGTTGGTAGCAGTTGGAGGATTTCAGGGAGTGTTTTGCTAGACTGCAATCATCATCACCACGTTTCCCTTTGATCTGCCTGGAGATGTGGCAGGATGTTTAAAGCTGGAAACAGCACTTTTCTAATGTTCTCTAACCTCAAAAACAAGATGCCAAACATAAGGTTTTTTTCCTCCTTTTTTCTCCCTCCAGCTCATTCCTGCCAGAACAGACTATTCAATTGTGTGCTGTGCATCATGACTCTCCCTGCTGAAGGAGGGGAGAGCTGTAGTATGGGGAATGAGAGGGCTTTTGTTGCTGGAGGGAATTTTTTACTAGCTCTTATTTTTTTTTTCTCTGTGTGTGAGAGACATAAAATGCTCTGGAAATGCACAGATTCTTCCTGCCAAGAACAGTTGTTTTCACAGCTCCCCTTTTGCCAATTTCCAACTGGTTAAGAAATAATAAAAATATAATAAAAAAGAGTTCTCACATACATATCCTAAACTTTCTGGCTGATGGATATTGTTGAGCAATAGAATCTGTAAAAGTGCCAAAATAACCTATTTCCCCAGAAGAATAGAAGAATCAAATATTAATTTTCAGAGACAAGAACAGATTCAAGGCTGAAGTGTTATTAACCAACTGTCTTAATTAAGCTAGAAGTATGATCTTCTAATATTTTTAAGAATTTCACTCAGCTGCTCGGCCTTTGGCTTGAATTTTTTTTCTGCAAAAAAAAGAGGTCTTTAATGCAAAATAATTAATTAATTAATCTCCAAATATGAGTGTTACTCATTTTGAATGCATAAAATATTTAGAGAGGATTCTAGCAAAATGTTCTACTCCCAACATTGACTTGACTTAATGCTATTCTAATTTACAAGTTGGTTTTGTGTATAACATCATGCCATGTGGGCTCTGAGAGAAGTATAGGAGATCATAGCATAAATAGAGGATAAATATGCTGTGGAACATGCACAAAAAGGAGAAAGGCTGTTTAGGAGTCAGAGAACATTGGAAAACAAAGGGAAATCTGTAACTTACTTTTCTGACACCTTCTGCCAGTGTAGCCCTCGGTACAGGAACACACGTTGGTTCGAACGCAGTGACCACCGTTCTTACATGGGGGAATGCACACAGCTAGTGAAAGGAAAATGGAAGTTTTTTGCACCAAAATCACACAGGGGAACAACACAGCCTAAATGCAGGCTCCTGATTTAGGGGCATGTGTTGGGAGACCAGCCTGCAGAGGTGTTTTTATCAGTTGTGGTAGGGGAAGGAAGATGAAGACCCTCATTCTGTCTTGTTTGTGGAAAGAATGTAGAGCATGGCTTCTAGCACATAAGGGCCTCTTTTAGATACCTGCAGTTAAGTGGTTGGAATATTCCTGAGAATTTCTTAGGTTCTTCAGTCTCTAGCTAAAAGGTTTCTTCAAGGGCTTCTGCCCTTGACATATAGATCTGTTTGATATCTACTAACTTGGCTTTGGTGCCGTTTCTTCTCCCTTTCTCAATGAAGCAGGAGGAAGGGCTTAGCTTTTCTTTGCCATCCATCCACTATATCCCCATATCAATTCCATATCCCACAAAAGTGGATATTTATTTTCAAGTTTTATCTCTGCCTAAAGTCTATCACATAAGGCCAAAAATTCCTAATCACCTAGATGTAGAAAATCACCTTCCATCTTGAACTTCAAGAGGAAGATCATCAAGTTACAGAGTGTATCATTTTTGCTCTCTCCTTTACCCACAATGTCATAAAAACAAATAACTTCCAGCAAGCTCCATTTGCAATTAGAGTTTTGTGTGTGAATTATTCACTTCCAAAAATATACATTGAGATTGCATTCATCTTGGAACTCCAGGAAAACAAAAGAGTAAGAGCAAAGAACTTTTAATATTGAAATAATTCAAGTTTGATAATAAGGGTGAGTTTATACTCACAGATTCAGGAGGAGTTACTCAAACAAATGTAAAGCATGTGGTATAAGCACAGGGATCTTTCAGCTACTTGAGCCCTGAACAGAAGTTTCTGTCTCCTGTATATTCTGTCTTAGATAATGGGTCATTAAAGCATTAACTTGACTTGTGCAGCACAAAGTGAGCAAGAAGCCCAGGATAGGGACAGCCTCAGTTTAGAGCACTCAGTCTAGGGTAGGAATTCAAACTCAGGTCCTGCTCTTTGTCAATCAGAGCAGTATTTGATCAGATCCTTGAGCAGAGATCTGATGGAGTCCTAGACAAGTCTCCCAAACATGACATTTTAAGGTGGTCAAGTTGGTGATACTGTGAGTTCCATTTGCAGATAAATTCTCATCTGGCTTTGAAACACAATATAGCAAACGTTACAGAGTAGGCAAAATGAATCAAGTACAGTCAGGCTTCAACATTTAATTGAATAGTTGCTAATTAGTAGTATCAGTGAGTTGGTTTTAGATTAATTATTTAGTTATCATTAATGCCATCACAAATAAGTTCTTACTCCTTCAGAGTACCATTAAGAACAAAAAAATATGGATTTATGACAGACTATGACATTGAAGGGGCACATGGAGTTATGACAAGGAGAGTCTCTGGATATACTTCATGTGAGGGCAGGCAATGATACAGGTGCTGTTTATATTTTAAGCCTGGATTCTTTATCAAGATGATGACTAGAACTTTCTTACCTCTCTGGCACTGTGGCCCATAGAAGCCATGAGGACATGAGCACATATTTGGCCGTACACAGATTCCTCCATTCAGGCACACTGGATTGCACACAGCTGTATGGGAATATAAAAGAACTCTTGAATCTCTGATAATTTTGAACTTTTTTAGACTGGACAGTCATCTGCTGCTGCACATGCCATTAGAACAATCATTTCTAGTAACCCTGTGATAAGTTTCATGCAGTTCTTGCTGCTCAGTTGTGCTGAGGCATTTATTCATGGTCAGCACAGTGGGAGCATTTCAGTGGTGCTTCAGCACAGCTTGGGGGATGAAATAGAGTCTAATTTAATATAACAATTTACTTTCTTTCTGATGTATTCCTTTGATTCACACAGTTCATTTGCTTCCATTCCAGTTTCCTCACCAAATGGCATTCCAAGGTAGTAAATGTAGTCACATCACATACACCCTGTAGAACCTGGAGATGAGCTACTAACTGTTTGTCTGCATTCAGTAGGGCATCATGGCATTTCTGTGAAGCTGAATAGCTGTGCACCACAAAACCTGTTTGTTCTGCACCATTTGAATGCCAGTTCCCACAGCACATTGGCTTATGCATCACCAGCAAAGCCACTTGTTGGGCTCCCTTTACCTCTTTATGTATGTTATTGCTGCAGATGATATAACAGGCATTAGGAATTAAAAGCTGTCTTGCATATTTCTATGTGGCAAGGACCAGACTGTTAAAAAACCCTATTAGAATTGCAAATTGATTTAGTTGGGAAGCCAATGTGTGAAGAATAAGGAATCTGATAAAGTTTTCATTGTAAAGCAGAGTAACACTTTAAACCAGCCTTTTTCCTTCTATTGTCTTTGTCTTTCAGTATCTTACAGAATAACCCATTAAATAAATTAAATACTTTTAAGCTTAAATAAATTAAGGGTCGCTAAAATGTTTCAGATGAACTAAAAGAGAAATAAAATGTCAATTCAGAAAGAGCAATAAGTGAAATTATAGTCTAGATGACAGACTTTTCTAAGGAACAATCACTCATGAAGTCAAAATGAACTTCTTTCACTGTTAGTAGGGAATTTAGATTATTTGCCTCATTGTCCTGTCTAGTTCACAGATGTCCACACTCTGTCATGCTGTCAGTGTTTATTTTTCCATTGGTAAAGTCTCTTAAGTCCCTTTTATTTTTTTCCATTTCCATATCTGTCTTCTTCCAGAGACTCCTATAATATCACTTGAAGTGGGAAACTCCAGCAGCATCTACGAAATACTCTGTGTAGTGCACACAAAACAGTGCTGGAGAGGTGAGTCTGGTAGTTTTTCACCTAAGGTATCAGCAGATGAAAAAAATCCTGCTGCTGTTATTCTGGGTTTGGAAATTACTGCTACTGTTGCTTCTTGCTTGTCCTCCTCTGCAAATAATCCATCCAAAGCCACAGCAAAATAAAATTGCACAACTCAATGAGAAGCAAAGGAGGAGACAGTGGGAACCAGAATGGTTAGTGGCAATCCCAGTCATTTACGGTGTATTTTAACTAGGCTAATTTATGTGTTCTCAGTAGTTCCATCATTTTAACACTTACAGGAAGAGCAATCTCCGGGAGATGGAGGTTAAAATGACATCTCTCACCTTCCAGGAAAGGTAATGTAGGCTGGAGGTGTCTTAGTCATTTAATATTCACCATGGCAGAGGCAGAGTGTCTCTGTAGCCTTGAGGTTTGGCACTGATTAAGGTAGTCCTCGTTCTTGCTCCTTTTAATATTTCACTATTTTACATGCCTTGTCCCAGGTGAGTGCTGTAGTTGCTGTGCCTTTGCAGGAAAAATATGTACTCCAGCTTTTAGCACTTAGATCCTGAGAGGGAGGTCTGAGCTGTGTCTGTTCAGAATGGGGTTCAAAACATGAGTCCTGACTAGAAACAGGGACTTAGTTCCAATCCTCACCTTGTCATTTGCACTGATGGGTGGAGGTGGCTTTTCCCTGAGCTCTCACATTTCCGTGGATGCTTTGTAGGTGCTCTGCAAGTACGAGACACAGGCAGGAGGAGCACTGTGAATTCTGGCAGCAGTGCAGGCTAAGAATTAGCTCCAGAATTACACAAGCCTGAAAGGCTGTTAAAAGGTTTTGGTTTATAACCCTGAGATTTAGATAAACATCTAAACTTATGAATACTTACATAAGCGTCTAAACTTAGGAGTACTTACATAAACTCAAAGCCTTCCAAGGTAACCCTGAGATTTAGATAAACTTCTAAACTTATGAATACTTACATAAGCATCTAAACTTAGGACTACTTACATAAACTCAAAGCCTTCCAAGGTTTCCCCCATTACTTGGACTCCTGTTCTCGTGCTTTAATTCTTTAAGCCTCAGTGCCCAGTGTGACTGGTGAAATGCAGGAACCACAGGGATTTCAGGCACCAAAAGTCACATTTAACCACTTACCTGTTTCACAAGAAGGACTACTCCACCCATTTCTGCATTTGCACTCATCTGGTGACACACAGACCCCACCGTTGTGACAGTGTCTGTTACACACCACTGGAAAACATCAGAAATTGGAATCCCTTTTCACTAACACTGTTGCAGATCTTAAAGTTGCTTTAGTACAGCAAATAACTGATAGTATTAGTCCAAGAGGTAAACAGAGGGATGGATCTGTCCCTTTCCTTGTTTTTCCCTCTCTATTAGAAGGCTTACATCTAAAATTCTTTGCTTTTTAAGTATTCCATATACTCCAATTCAGAGATGAAATTATATTCCTGTCAAGGACAACATGATATTTAAACAAGCTGTGAGGACTGGAATGGTGGAATTGCACATGTTTTGGTATTCAGCTAACATAGAAGAGTTTGAAGGCTGATTTTTTTCCCCAGAGGTTCTCTATATTGAACCTCTTTTTTAATGTGTATAGCAGAGTAACGTGACTCCTAATAGGTATGGTTGTTTTTTTTGTGTTCTCAAAATTAACATTACCACATTCACTCACAACCTTGACTTTCATAAATGTTTCTATAAATAACAAGTACATTTTTTGCTTGTTTATTTGTTTTTTCCAGAAGCATTTTTATGTAGAAAATGTTGATACAGACGTGCATATTTTTACATAATACATGCTATATTAATGCTGCTGGAGAGTATATGCTCTGAAATAGTTTAGCTACTGTATTACTTCAACATGTTTTCCTTGCTGTATTTAATCATGTTAAGGGGAATTATAGAAAAATCAAAAGGCTTTTTTTTTTTTGTCTCCTAATTTTCTGCAAAGTCAAATATGCCATGAGAAAAGCCATGAGTGAGTTCATACATACTTGTTTCACATCGAGGACCTACGAATCCATAAGCACAAGAACAAGTGTTTTGAGGTAGACAAGTTCCTCCATGCTCACATGGTGGATCACACTGTGCTGCAAGAATAAAACAGGAGGAAAAAAAACACAGTTCAAATAGTACATTCTGTGTGGTTATGAGCACAGTGCAGGTTACTTCTTTCCCCATACCATTTTATTAATTCAACAAGTAATTTGGCTGAGGAAAACACTGCAGGATAGCAATAGATATCACATTAGTAATACAGCACTAATGAGCAGCTATATAATATCTGCAAGGGAATGGTTTTAACCTAATCATATTTAACTTCTGAGTATGCACATTTTTAAGTACATATTTTTGAAGTCTAAGGATGGATCAAGTATAAATGCAGTTAATACTCAAGACCTTACCCATCCCTCTGCACCTTTACCTTGTGCATGGTTAGTAACCCTTAACAGGTGTCAGAAGTTACACTAAGGCAGAGATTAAGTATTTCTTCCTTATAGAAAAAAAGAGTTGCACAGGGATTTGTCAGCAAAATGGCAAACATTTAAGCAACAGTTTTAATATTTAATGAGCAGTGTGAATTCTGCAGACAAAGCAGCAAATTAGACAATGATTTCTTGACTTATTGCAACATGCATTGTCATTCTGTGGAAGAACTTATGAGCAGGTGTGTGGCTTAAAGCTGGAAAGGACTGAAATTCCTGAAACAAACTTCTTGCTGAAGACACTCACTTGTTTTTTAAATGTTGATCATTCTGAATCTAATGGCTTTATTGTACAAGGAGCCTGGAAGGTTTAGCCTCTTAAACCCAAGATCTAAGCTAGGTACCTGACACCAGATACCACGAACACTTTTATTTGTAGCACTCTAATAAGAGGTAATTTTGTATGGCAAACTCAAGAGAGGAGGATGAAGATCACTGAAGGTACAAGACGATCACTGACGCTCAAAGAAAAGGGGCTATGTGCAGGAGCAGAGCCAGTGTCAGCTGGCTCACATGCCTCTGGAAAAAAAAGCCACCTCATGTAACAGAATGAAAAATATCTTTCCTTCTGCTTGTGAAGTGAATACAGAGAAAAATGTTGCACTTTGGCACACTTTACCGGCAGAGTTTTGTCTTTTATAATGGATATGAAACTAAGCAAGGTTATTCCAAGGAAAACGTAAAACGAAGCTAAAGAGACCTGAAACAAAGCATCTTTCATTTTAAGTATTGTTACAAGGGAAAAGAACCCTAAAGTACCACATTTTGTTCTTAAGTCTGGAAAATGGACTGTGTGAATGGAAAACTAAATGAAGGACAAATTCTTTCGGCACCACAAAATTTAAACACAGTTATTGTGTTGAAGGTGTCCTCGCCTGTTGTGATTGTCACCAAGACCTCATATAAAGCCATGGAATATCAACTTTGCCATCCAAAAAAAGTAATCAAAGCCAGCACACATTGGCCAATTACAGTAACAAAGACAAGCTCCAGAAATGTTCCTTTAAATAAACCATTTTGACACAAATAACAGTGAAGAAATACATTTGGTATTAGATCTTCTCTCTAGGTACTTCAGTATTTACATTTCCTATTACTATAGAGTTTTTGCTGTGAAATTTTCAATGCTGCATTAAAGTAACTTTAGGATTTGACATGCCTGAAAACAGGAAACTCATTAGATGTAGTTTAGATTCATACTATACATGCTGAGAATGTTGTTAAGCTAAATTTAGTTTTGATTTGATGGGTTATAAGGTTTAGACATTTGCACATCAACATGTGTTTAGCTGAAATTTGAAGTGTACATCTGTGAAGAAAAAAGAAAAACAAAACAATACTGTCTGGACAATGAAGTAGATCTAGGTTCAGATTAGATATTAGGAAGAAATTCTTTACTGTGAGAGTGGTGAGGCACTGGCACAGGTTTCCCAGAGAAGCTGTGGATGCCCCATCCCTGGAAGTGTTCCAGGCCAAATTGGATGCAGTTTGGAGCAACCTGTTCTAGTGGAAGGTGTCCCTGGCCATGGCAGGGAGGTTGGAATGACATGATCTCTAAGATCACTTCCAACCCAAATAATTCTATGATTTTCGTTAGACCCATCTAAACAGTTAGTGCTAATCCTCCACAAATTTTCTCTAATTCAGCCACTGATAGAAGCTGCAGGAGCAGGTCAGGGGCTCAGGCACCTTGGGACCTCATGCTATTAGGGCAAACAGTAGGCAGCAGTCCATGATGAAATGAAAAGTAGAAGAAAGGGAAAGAAATTGCAGCTGTTTTAAATTTGTTATTCCTTTAAAACTGCAGTACTATGATGATAAGATACCACTCATGTTTGGGGGCTTGTGTTTGATCTCACTCAAGTCAAGGACAGGTAGAGGGCTCTGAAAGGAGAACACTGACCCATCCACTGCACACACATCCATCTGAAACATCTCCATTCCCCTGGGTTTGGGTAAGCACAGGACTTGTTTGTAAAGGGATTTCTTTGCAATTAGAAACGTACAGCACGTCGAATTGGTTAATATTCTCTGCGTGGAGACAGGGCAGTACACAACCTGGGAAAAATGTGCCACTCTTCTTAAAGCACATGAAATGTGATTGCGTTTCCTGTAGGATGATGGTTGCATAAAGCCTCCAGGTGCCTAAGTGCTATGCCAAGCACAGTGACATTCAAACATATTATGCTTTTTTTCAGCATGGTTTGTACATAGCACTTAAAGCAAATGTGTCCATTTGAATAGAGTACTTTCCATCTGGCCTTTATACATTCCAAGAAGCATCTGAACTGTCAGAAAAGAACATGGTATTTTGGATATTAAAACATTTAGGTCTTCTGGTGACATTTAATAGTAAAGTGTTTAAAACTGTTCTATTACTGGTGAATAGCAAAAGATAAAAACTGAACACTGGCTGCTATGTGAGACCGAGAGTAATATTCACCTAAAAGACATTTCCCTCTGTAATAGAAATAGACTGTTTGTGTCAAATTCTTTTCCCAGACTTCTATCTTTCATCTTCTGGAATGAATATTTTTTTTTCATAAGCATTTCCTAAATTGTAGAAAGGTATTGCAGTGCTTTCATACTAAGCAGTTTTGGATGGAATAAAATAACAGCAAAGAGGAAGACATTGCTGCAAATGGTCAGTCTTGCTGTCAAATGTACAAATGTTTATGTTTATAATTTAAAATCTGGAGGTGAAAATGGAGAAGTGCATTATTGTTTTCTTTGAAAGGGCTTTTTGGGAAATATCCTGAAACTCCTTTTTCTCCAGTAAAATGAGATCATGTACTTTTTATAAGTTTCTCTACAATAGTTTTTGGGGCACTCAGGAATAGCAGTTGCTGTGTTGTTTCCTCCATTTTCAATAGCCTAATCAGCAAATGTCTTCCAGGATAGAGTTATTGCTTAATATCTCAGCAGTGAGTGCCATCCAGCACGTGAGGTCCTGGGTCTGTACCACTAAAGGCAGATTGGAGGTGTGAGAGCATTACCTGCAGCTCCACTTCAAATTCTGAGCACCAGTCAGGTCACGACACACTTCACTGGAAGAAACATAATCTACCTTGTTCTATGCATTGTACAGTGTTTATTTTCTTTTACAGACACAGTAATCAAATTTCCCAACTGAACAGATGAATATGTGCAGCACAAGAGGGGCAGAAAATGGCAAAGAAAGTTTCCAGGTTACTGTCTTTTCTTTTAAAAAGTTGTGAACCAACGTCTTTCTTTTGCAGGCAAGATACATAGATAAAGGAAATAAAGCATAGGATTAAAGCATGTGCAATTAAAATAGCTCATGTGCATATTTAAATAGTCCAGCAGTCCAGAGCTCCATTGTGAGAGAAATGCCCATCAGAGCAACTAGAATATTAAAAAAGAATAACTTCACTGAATAAATTGGGAATTCAAATGCAGACACTGGTTCTGGTTAGGTTATACTAGTGGATTTTGTTTTGTGAAATGTCAGCTGAGTGCTCATCTGCAGGCATAAAAAAAAGAAAAAGCAAGCAAAGTGTTAGGAATTGTTAAGAAATGAGCAGAGCACAAAATGCCAGACTTTATTGTGGTCTATATCCATGGTGACCTGCCTCTTAAATACTGTGTTGCAGGTCTGATCCCCCAGCCCAGAAAAGATACAGTAAAAGTGGAAAAGATGCAGGAAAAGCTGGTAAGGATAACCAAAGTTACAGAAGAGCTTTTGCACAAAGAACAAGTGAATATATTCGGACTATGGGAAACACATGACTTGGGGGTACAGGATAGAAAACAGTGAAATCAGACACGGCCTGGAAAGGGTGAACAGGGCAGTGTTCAAAGGCATAGCCTTGGTGTTTTGAAGTATATGATCCATAACTTGCTGAGAAATTATTCTAGGCAGTGTCCCTATATCTTTCCCATATACTGCCAGAATGCAGTTGGTAGCTACTGGAGATAGGGGATGGACTTTTTGGTCTGATATGGTAAATCTTTTGGGGTATAAAATGTCAAAACAGATGAATGTCAGCTACATGATTTTTTTTTGCCTTGTTTCATCCAGCTGTTCATCCTGAGGTCATCATGCTTTCCCAACTACTCCATCTTTCTGTTATTTTGAAAGTTATTTGGTTTGAACAGTGGATTTTTAATGCCAAGGCAATGCCATGTTTTTAACTCTTCAGCAGAAATCATGACTCCTACCATTCTAGACTTCCCCTTCACTTAGAAAATACTGTGCAAAGCCTATAAAATATCCCAGAATTTTTTCTGACTTTGCATTTTTGAGAAAATGTTTCTAAAGTAGCATGACTTTATCTTCCACAACAATGCTGAGGTTCTTTCATGACTACTAAAAAAACCAGAAAGATGCGAGTCCTTAACTGTCACCTAACCCAAAAGAGTTTAGAATAATTATCTCTATTATATGGAATTGAGACTTTGACCTTTTAAATGTACAGTTTTAGTGATCAGACACTCCCTGACAAAGGAGTTTGGAGTTAGGGAAATAAAACCAAGGATGGCCAGAAATTTGGCTTGAATTCTTATCTTCAGTCTTCAGGTCTAGGTTTTTCAGAAAGAAGCACAACAATGATGCCCAGAGAAGAGTTTTTTTGTTAACTTCCAGCCTGTTACTGAATGGAAAGGACATGTTCCACCTTAGGGCACCCTAAGGAGCTCAAGGAGCAAAACAGCTGCTCTGAGGCAGTGCCATATGCACAGACCCTGCTGAATGAGCTGAGCCCAGGGAAACAACAGCATTTGTTTCCTTTCCCTTGTCCAGTGGATGCAGCATCTTTGAAAGTGCAGGCCTGTGCCCCTGTAGTGGTGTGGGGAACAGAGGCAAGACAACAAGAAATTGCTCTAAGTGGACTGATAACACCAACAAATATTTCAGAACATTAACCTCAAATGTTACAGAGCTATGCAGTACATGTGCCACTTATAATAAACTAGGCAAAATGTCAGAAACGTTCTGACAGCAATCCTGTTTGGACTTGTTTTGCATTACTACAGTGCTAGGGTTTTATTCAATTGGCATACTGAGCTGAGATGTGTGAAGCTCTGTAAGTGTTCTGACACTCCTGCAGTGCTCTTTGGCAGGTGATACGTGCTGTCCCATAAAACTGCTACAAGTGTACTATAGTAATGCATTGCTTTTATGGCATATATCCTTGGAAACAGCACTCAGAGTGAAAATTAGGTATTTAGCAACCTTCCTCATCACCAGAGGAACTCTTGGCTAGGTTTACTCCATAAGTGCCAGAGAGCATCTTCTCCAAGAGAAAACATGGGAGAATCCAGTGGACTACAGCAATATCTCCCCTACTTATTTTTCATTATTGTGTAGGTGATGCCATCTATCCAAAACATCACTCTGAAATGAAGCATTTCAAGGCTTGGCCTGTTTGGCAGACTAGTCTTAATGCTAGGCCACTCATAAATTGTTACATTGCCTTTGTGCAGGAAGGGGAAAGAGGTCAAAGACCTGAGAACCTGAACAGCAGTAGTAAAGGGTATGGAAGTGATGAGAAGAGTCTTGAGGAACTGCTTCATCTCACCTTATCTACAGTGTATGTAGCTGCTGCTGGAAGGACAAGAATTAAGACTCTAATCCTTGTTATGCCAAAGCAAGATTAGCCAAAGCAAGGATCAGCTTCTTACAGATGGTGAAGTTGTCAAAAGTGAAGGGAGTGATCTTAATGGAATCTCCTAAGACCATCTGAACACATCTCAGTTTAGATACCTGAATATAAGCCGAACACACTGACATCTAGATAAGTTCTTCCAAAAGAAGGTTGAAGGTTAGACCTGATGATCCCAAGTGGTCTCTTCCAGCCTGTGGTCATTCTTCCAAAAGAAGGTTGGAGGTTAGACCTGATGACCCCAAGTGGTCTCTTCCAGCCTGTGGTCCTGAGTCTGTGACTCCCAAAGCAGAATGACAGAGTAATGAACTTCCAACTAAATCATAACAGGGAGACTGAGAGGCTTGTCCAAAGGGATAAGAATATTACAGATATAAAATATGATTTACTTCAGAAGAGAAATTATCAGGATGCTGCTTATTTTTCCCTACTCGTCCACCAAGCCTGATTTTGAATCTGTGCAGTGGGGAAGAAAAAAAAAAAGCATTCTATCACAAAATAAATACCACTTGGTAAAGTATTTATTATCTTAGAGTATTTTTAGACACTTATTAAATAAAGGTCACAGTCCCACAAGTGCAACAGGTATTAAAACTTGCTAACAATGGGCTGTTTCTTTTATCTCAGTGAATTTTGATATCAAATAGGATGGTGGCAACTAGTAATAGTGTCTGAGACTGTCAGCAGTTGTTGCATTGAAACCTGAAGATTTTGCAAATGTTGGTTTCATCTAAGCTTTGATCACTTGCACAGTTTTGCTGCCTCCTGTTCTTAAAGGGTGTTGCTCCCTTGAGGGGAGTTGGTACAGTTGTGCCAGCATTGTAAGGTGGTGATAGCTAAGGTTATCACAGGCCTTAATCCAAGAAATTATCCTCATTTTTCAACCTCATCTGTCGTGATGAATCCACTGCATCTGTCATGGGGAGAGACATCCACAGCTGGAGGTACAATGGGTGCTTTTCACACTACTGGCCATGCTCCAGGGTACTGCCTGCAGGTGCACAGAGGTGATCAGGACAAAGCAGAGGAGGGAGCAGACAGGCTAATTACTGAGTCAGGTGCCATGGTCAGCGACAAGAGACAAATAAAGGATGTTTGTGTATAGTGTCATCAAGCCCTGAGACACAGAACGATGCTGGTAATAAAGTATTTCATCCTAAGGACTCTCCAGAGAGATTTTCAGTAATACCAGTAATTGAAGAAAAAAATCTCATTTTGTGAGACAGTAAAAGGCAGAGGTAGATTTATATTTTAAGGTAGATTTTTGTGTTAAGGACTATACTGATGGGCATTCTAAACATACACACAGCAGCCACCTGTCCAAATCCACAGATATTCATATATACATGGGTCTTTGAAGGGAGACCATTCTGTGGTCAAACTAGCTTTGGGCTTCCCAGTACTGGGAGCTATTTGGTACTTTTCCATCTCCAGGTATAAAACAGAGGTCGAAGACAGGGAATTTTGTGCCAAGTAACCTTAAGTACTTTAGAAGGGGCATTTCAGAAATGTGTAATCAGGCAAGAAATGACAGCACCCAAGATTAGAATAACCTTTTTGTGCACATTTTGTGATATAACTCCAGCACTAATCTGAGCTCAGGGGGCTACAGTAATGCTGGGGGTTTTACACCCCATGAAGCTTTGCTTACAGCAAGAAATCCCTGCAGGGTCCTCCACAGAGCATCACAGCTGAGACCCCCCCATGCCTGTCTGTGGAGCATGAGAGACCAGATGCAAAAGAGGGTGAAATAGATGATGCAAATAATTTTGCTTTGTGTAGTGAAAGGCCAGTTAAGCTATAAACTTATCAGAGAGATGTCAACAAAGGGTGTGATTAATGATAGCAAAGTCAGGGAATTCATTGCTTCAACAATGTGAATAATTCTATTGTTTTATGGAGGTATTCTCAGCTGCCTAATAAATAACTCACTGCACTGTGAAAACCCTTCTGATGTTATACATTTCAGATGACAAGCTCAGTTTTGTATTTAAGTTATTAGATAGATATATACAAGTAATTTTTAAGGTAGTAGGCCAATTAGTTTTTCCTAGAATATATGCTGTGTAGAGAATTGGAGTCAATTTTACTCT